AAGGATGGAGGGGACAGTTGGGACAGGGGTGGCCACAGGAATGGAGGGACAACTGGGTGGCCATGGGGACAATCAGGCCATGGTGTCAGGGTGACCATCAGGATGGGGTGGCCATGGGGACAGAGGGGACAAGGAACCAGCAGAGCAGCCCAAATGGACTAGAAAACCAAGGACTGACCTTGTCCCCTTGGTCACAGTGACCTGTTGTCACCTTGCTGTCACCCAGCAGGTACCACCACCCTGGGTGGGAGGGTGACAACGCACCGAACCCCAAACCTGCCCCATTTGGGGATTATTTTGCCCAATTTGAGCTTATTTTTTTTTTTAAGCCCCAAAAAGGGGGAATTGGGGTTTAGGGAGAAAATGTGGCACCTGGATCCACTCCGGGGGTGGGAGGAGGCCAAAGCCCAGCCTGGCTTGGGGGAAATCAGGCTGGGTTTGGGATTATCCACCTTTTCCCCTCGGGTCTTCAGGCCGGTGCCAGGAATTGCAGCAGACTGAGCCTTTGCCTTCGTTAGGAGGTAATTATGCAAATGAGCAGAGTTTAGACTGGTGCCGAAGTGGTGCCGGGTTCAATTAAACTGGGCTTGATTAAACTGGGATCAAGTCACCAAGTCCAGTTAAACTGGGTTTGATTAAACTGGGTTCATTTAAACCAGGTTTGATTAAACCGAGTTGAATTAAACCAGATTCAATTAAACTGGGGTCAGTTAAACTGGATTTGATTAAATCAGGTTCAATTCAGTGGGCTCAATTAATCTGGGTTTGATTAATCTGTGTTCAATTCAGTGGGCTCAATTAAACTGGGTTCGATTAATCTGGGTTCAATTCAGTGGGCTCAATTAATCTGGGTTCGATTAATCTGGGTTCAATTCAGTGGGCTCAATTAAACTGGGGTCAGTTAAACTGGGTTCAGTTCACTGGGCTCAATTAAACTGGGGTCAGTTAAACTGGATTTGATTAAATCAGGTTCAATTCAGTGGGCTCAATTAATCTGGGTTCGATTAATCTGGGTTCAATTCAATGGGCTCAATTAAACTGGGTTTAATTAAACCAGGTTCAATTCATTGCATTCGTTTAATCTGGGTTCAGTTAATCCGAGTTCATTTCATTGGATTTGACTAAATCATGTTCAATTAATTGTGTTTATTTAATCCAGGTTCAATTAATCTGGGTTTGATTAAACCATGTTCAATTAATTGTGTTCAATTAAACCAGGTTTCAGTTAACTAATTCACTAATCTAGGTTCAGTTAACCTGGGTTCAATTAATCTGGGTTTGTTTAATCTGGGTTCAATTAATCCAGCTTCAGTTAAACGGGGTTCAATTAATCCAGGTTCAATTAATCCAAATTCAGTTAATCCGTGTTCAATTAATCCAGGTTCAGTTAAATTGGATTCAATTAATCCAGGTTCAGTTAAATTGGATTCATTTAATCCAGGTTCATTTAGTTCTGGCTCAATTAATCCAGGTTCA